TCTGTGAAGGTGGGTAAGTGGTGTTGGCTCAATAGAGAGGCTAGCTGACGGAGCCTGGTGGTGGTGCACCAACTTTTGGCCGTTTTGTCTTATGTAGGAAGAAATAATAAATAACAAGGGGCAGCACTACAGCCCACTCTGCAGCCATGGGAAGCATATCAAACCCAAAACCCAAGGCTTTTATTTTATTAAAGGTCACAAATATTCTACTTTCATCCTTAGTTTGCACAAATCATGGGACCTGTTTCCTCTCCCAAATTAACCCTTTTTTAAAGAGGAGGCAAACTTAATATGCAATGCATGAATTAATGACGCAATAGTAAAGCCCCACTTACTCCGTGAAAAGTGAGAATGCTTCTTATGTTTAGTGCTAAAGATTATGATTTTTTGCCTGTTTGGTCACATGGAAAGTTTGAAGCAAATAGTTTTGAAGGGAAAGGGTGGGTTTAGATGCCACTAAACCATAACCTAATTAGTCTTTTCTTGTCTCCCTTTTTTTTTTAACTTTCTTGTATGCAATGGTAAAGTCTAGAATGGAAAGTAGAGGTGGAATTAATAGGACCATTTGTCTCCTTTATGTTTCTTTGTCTTGCAAAGGGTATCTATCATGGCAAAAGGCCCCTACTTTCTCACTTTGTTTTTTCACATTAGTAATAATTACAATGATCCATTGTCATAGCCCTTTTAACAAACTGCATCCCTGCATCTAGACAATGTTAGATTAGTGGTTGAGAAGATTTAATCAAGAAAGTTGATGCTTTAATCAAATGGGAAACAAGGGTCTTTTGGGCTTTGGACTTTTTCCAAGTTTTGTAGGGATTAGTGTTGACAATAATAATTAATCACTAAGTTCATGCTTAATTAAGCTAGCTACCTAGTTTCTACAGAAAAAATTTTAATTAATTATTGTAGGGGTTGTAGCATTGAGGGTTTGAATGCAAAGCGTTTTTGGAGAGTTGCTTATAAGCAAATTTTTACTCTCTTGAGTTTGAAAAAATTTTGGAGTGAAAATGGAAATTTTTTAATTAGCAACAAAAGTGCTAATAAACAAGTTCTACAAAAAGTAGTGTAAGTAACTTGATCTCAAAAAATTTCCACAAAACATTTCCTAAATGCATACCCAAACTATAACCCTTAATAATCTCAAAAAAGCACCCTAGATCAATTTGATTATTGCATTAAAAAAATTAAAATTCCTCACTTGTTAACCTAAAAACTCGAATCCTAAACTTAATTTATAACTTATAAGATTTACAAGTGGAGTGCTAAGGTTAGTAATGCTTTATTATTGTTAAAAGAATCAAAGGCTTTCTAATTGCAAATTTGCAATGAATATGCAAGCAAGCACAATCAATCATCAATTAAATCGTTTTTTTTTTTTCACTTGCATTCATCATGACAAAAAAAAATTACTTGATAACAAACAACCAATAATTAATAATAATTGTGTAAAAAATGATAAATTTCAAAGAAAAGGGTAATTAATAATTGAACAAAATGCCACATAATTTGAAAGGGGGTCCCACATAATTTTAAAAGGGTCCCATTAAAGGTTTCATATTGATGGGTGGAAGCAAATAAAATAATGCCCTATTGAGGTGTCAGCTAGCTTTGGCCTGTCAGTGAGATAATGCATGTTTATGTTAGAAAATAGAAACCAATGTGAAGGATATTATTGTCAAATAAAAAAAGAGGTCCCATGCCATTGCCCAGCTGAAGGGTTCCAAGGGCAGGAGAAGGGGTGACAAAATGACACTTTTGGTGACCTAATCTAATACTAGCAAGAAGAAATCAGAGGAGATTTGAGAATGTGTTTGGTGGATTAATGGGAGGAGATTTGAGTATCCTTCCATTCCTCCCCCCCACCCTCCCCACCGCCTTTATATAAAATATTTCCATTTATTCTTCAATTACTTAACAGTGATACTTCACAACATATATAAATAATAAAAAAATAAAATTATAATATTATATAATATTATAAATTTATAAAAACTTACAATAATTACATGACTTAAACAAATAGATATATATAGATCTATGTGTTTTGCTCGGTAAAAAAAAATCAATAAAAATTGTTGTCACGTAATGTTATAAAAATTTGTTAACAACAATATTGTCAATATATTATTTTAATAATTTAATTTCATTTAATTCCCACTGTATTCCCATTCAAACATAATTCTTACTTGCATCCAACCAAATAAAATTATTGTTTTTTTTAGTATATAAGAGAGTTAGTTATTTAGTAATATAAATATTTTAATTTTTGATATTGATTCTAAATCAAGAATTTTAAATTAATAGGTATTAATTTAGCTGGACATAAAGAAATAAATTAAGATTAAGGATATAAGACATTAATATTGTTCACCTAATCCAGTCTTGATCTTTGATAGTCTATTGCTAATTAATAAAATCATGGGTTATGACTAAAGATCTACGAATCCTTTTGGCAATACCAAGTCGAGAAATTGACATTTTTGACTTGAAAAGTAGAAAGTTTGAAAACCGACCTAACTTCAATTGGAATACATATTTTGAATATAAATCTTCAACCTAATGGTTGATCTCATACGATTTCAGTGTCTTAGAGAATTAGAATGTATTGGGTCAAACAATCTTTTCATAACTCCCCCAAAAAATCAAATCATGTTTGGTATTTCTTTCATTTACAACTAATAATTGCATCCCCACATGTTTTAGAAAAAAAGATTGAGATTTGAACATTTTATTCCACAGTTTCATCTCTCTATTATTGGACTGCAAATAGTGATAACTTAGATTCTTAGTACTCTGTCACGCTTCATAAATATTTTATTTCATAAATCAACGTAATTACAAGATACATATTTTATAATGTTATATCAAATTATAAATAATTATAATTATAAAAAATTAATTGTTTAAAATTATTTAAAAAATATTTTATATTTTAAATTATATTAAATTATGTAAAATTAATAATTTTTATTTTATAATTTAATATTATTTAAGTTATAAAATAGAATTATTAATAATCATTACTGAAACAAATAAACAGAGAGAATAAGAGAGGTTAGTATTTTAATAATTTTTAAGTTGAAGAGAACGAAGAGGAGGTGAGGAAGAGAGAAATGAAGTCTTATCCT